TTGTAGATAATATTAAGTTTGGAAGGACAGGTAATACATTGGGTTACAGAGTTAGGATCTGAAAGGATATTGGAACACTGGGATAGACATCATCAGATGACAATCAATAAGGAAAGAAGCAAAGTTTTGTACTTGGGTATAAAAAACAACCTTGGGGCAACTAGGTGGCACAGTAGATAGAGTGCCGGCCCTGGAATCAAGAGGACCTGAGTTCAAATCTGGCCTCAGACACATAACACTTACTAGTTGTGTGACCTTGGGCAAGTCACTTAACCCCATTACCTAGCCCAAAAAACAACAACAATAACAACAACAACCTCACCAGTGAAAGATTGGAAGGCATGGTTCAACTGCAATTTTTCTGGAAAATATCTGGGCATTTTAGTATACTTCAAGACCAATGAGTCAGCCATGTGGTATGACTGGAAAAAACTTTAATTCAATCTATTGCTAAGGCATTAAGAAAGACATAATTCTAGGAACAGAAAGGTCACACTGTACCTTGCTCCACTCAGATCTTTTCCGGAGCACTATGTTCAGTTCTAGGTATCTGATATTTAAGAAAGATAGTGATAAGCTACAGAGTGTCCAGAGGAGAGCAACTATTAATGCTAAATGGCTTTAAGTCCATGATGTATGAGGATCATTGAAGGAATTGGTTATGTTCAGCCTAGAAAAGAGAAGACTGAAGCCATAAGAACAAATTTAATGCCTTCTCTACATGAGAGCCATTCAGACACTTGGAAATCAACTATCATATCCCTGATGAAGACAAAACCAGGAATCATAGATGGAAGTTGCAAAGAGAGTAATTTAGGCTTGATGCCAGGAAAAACTTTATAAAAGTGAGAACTGTACAAAAGTAAAATGGGCTTCCTCAAGAGACAGTGGGTTCCCACTCCTTGGAGGTCTTCAGGGAGAGGTTGGATGACTGCTGTTGGGCATGATATGGTAGAGATTTCCTTTTAAGGACAGGAATGCTAGATTGTTGCTGAGGTTTCTTCCAACGCTCAAATTTGGTGATTCATAAATAGAGTAATAATGTGGGACATGATAAGAAAGGAAGAAAAAGGAAGAAAGAAAAAAAGGAAGAAAATTTACAAGTACAATAATTCAAACATTCAAAAACATCTTCAGGCATGATTTTTTCCCCCAGATAATGTTATAAAGACAGATGTATCTCTACAAACAAGGAAGCAATGAATAAAATGAAATGAATCAAAAGAGAAAAAAATGATAAAGATGTAATTCTTTATAAGTTCTGATGACAAGGCTGAATGTGTTAATCAAAGCATAACCTGAGTTTAGAAAGATTCATCACTCCAAGAAGAGTCATTTTTTTCCAGCCGCACAACTCATGAAATGAGGGGAGAAAAATGGAAGACAGAAGTGAGAGAGAGAAAGAGGGGGAAGAGAGAAAGACCATATAGCTATAAGCATAAAGCTATTAGGAGGGAAAGGTGGCATATGTATATATAAAATTGACTGGTATTTAAACTGAATTCATTAATACAAGATTAGAATGGACCAAAACTCAATGACTCCATCCAACAAGAAAAAAATAGTAGAATAAAATCCAAAAATTAGAAGAAAAAAAAAAGGAAGAAAATGTATAATGTATAAGAAAAGTATCAACTATTAAAAACTAACATGGAAAGAAGTCAAGGAAAGAGAATTAAAGTATCAGAATCAAGCTCCCTGAAAATCATGACCTAAAAAGAGGGAAAGGGATACATACCTATATTTGAAAAAATCACAAATGCTTCTCAGCAATACAAGGATCTAAGACGTCTCCCCAAAGGCCTTGTGATGGAAAATGCTATCCACAAAGAAGAAAGAACTATGGAGTTTGAATGCAGATTGAAGCATACTATTTGCCATTTTTTTTCTTCTGCTATATTTTGTTTCCTCTTTCTGGTAGTTCCTCCTATTGGACAGATTGTAATAATACACAGAGTAGAAAGTCAGGCATGTCTTATGGAAGGAACAGCAAGAAGGCCAATGTCACTGGATCAATAAAATATATTTACAAGATGTAAGAAAAATGGAAAGATAGGAAAGGGTCAGTTTGTCAAAAGCTTTAAAAGCCAAAGAGATGATGTTATATTTATTCCTGGAGGTAATACATCTGAAGTAAATTAAATAGGGCTAAGACTTGTAGCAGAAAGAGATCATCCAGTAGGCTAGTACAATAGGCATGAAGTAACAAAAACCTTTGCCTGGGTGGCAGCAATATAGGGAAAGTACACAGAGAAGTTATAAAGGTAAAATCCACAGAACTTGGCAACAGAATGGATATGGTAGTCAAGTGTGTGACTCAAATGATCAAAGGTGACACCTAGGTTTCAAGCTTGGAGGAATGTGAAGACCATGGTGCCCTCAAAAGTAACAGGGAAGTTAGAAGGAGAAAAGAGGAAGATTAACTAATCAGTTTTTATCATGTTTTGTGAAAAAGAAGGGAGGAAGAGGGGAAGGAGAAGAGGTAGCTCTCAATGAGTGGCTTCAATTTTTAGGCAAGGTTCTCAGTTAAGATGGTGGGAGGAAAAGAAACCATGGGGAGTTTGAGGACTGAAAAGGTTTAAAAGAGTTGTTGTAGTATCTGGGATAGTGAAGCAATGCAAAATTACTACACCTTAAGAAATGATGAAACATATATTCAGAGAAACCAGGTGAAACCTGTATAAAGTGATGCAGAATGAAGGGAAGAGAATCAGAATAGAAAATTATATAATGGCTATGACAAAATAAAGAAAAATAACTCCTAAAGATTTAAGAAGTGTCATCAATGCCAAATAGCCATGATTCCAAAGGACCAATAATGAAGCATATATCCCACTTCTTGAAGGGTGGTGCACTGGCAATGCAGGATGAGATATATGTCTGAACATGGCAAACTTGTGGATTTGATATGCTTGACTATGATTATTTTCTACCTGAGTTGTTTTTGGCTTTTGTTTTTGTTTTTTAATGGATGGAGGATATTTTTTAATGGATGGGGAAAAGAGAGAGAAAATAATGATAGTGATCCAAAAAAAAATTTAATGAGCAAGATAAGTTACTGAAAAGTTGCACATAAAAGGACTATTAGGGATATGGTAGGAAAGCTATTTAAAAGCCTCCTCTTGTGAATACTTCCATTAAAGGAAGACTGTTTTATAAAATAATCACACATATTATAACTACATTCACATATATTGTTTTTTAAATAAAGATTATTATTTGTAGCACTTGCCCAAGGTGACCATCTGAAGTTTGAATCTATTCTAATGGTCAAAGGATTGGAATTAAGAATTGCAATTAACAACCACATGAAAGATTATTCTACTTCACTAACAATAACAGAAATGCAAATCAAAACAAGTGAGATTTCATCTCAGAAAAAGCCAATTAGCAAAGGTGACAAAATATGTAAGGAATCAATATGAAAATAATATAGAAAGGAAGGCACATTTATGCACCACTGATGAAACTATAAACTGGTCTAGCCACTCTGAAAAATAATTTGGAATTATATATTTTTTCAAGTGACTGAAATGTCCATAATTCTTCAACTCAGAGATTTACTATTAGGTATATGCCCCAAGAAGGTCAAATACAGAAAGGTTATCATATAAACCAAATTATTCACTGTAATACTATATCATAAGAAATGACAAATTCCAGGAAACATGAGATTTATATGAAGTGATAGAGAGTGAACTTAAGCAATACCAGGAGGACAAAATATATAATGACTATAACAATGTAAATAGAAAGAACAAAACTAAATACAACATAACTATAATGATTAAATTTGGACAAAGACAAGAATTGAAAAAATATACTTCTTTCCATGCACTGGAGAAGTAGGGGACTGCAGGTCTGGAATGTTGCACATGCTAAAGGACAAGATCAATGTGTTGATTTATTTTACTTCACTTTTTTCTTTAAAAAAAATTTTTTGTTAAAAGGAAATGCATCCTAGGGAGGGGTAAAGAAGGGAATATTCAGCAAGGAATGTAAAATAAAACAAAAAGAATCAATAAACAAACACACACACACACAACCAACAAATGCCATAAATTTTAAATTTAATAATTGATAATAAATAGCTTTTATTTATTTAATAAACAATATTTATATTACATTTATATATAAATATATATTTATAATAATAAATAGTTAATTTTCAAATAGTAAAGCACTTCTTTTATTCCAATAAAAAATATGCCTCCAAAATCATTGTTAAGAAAAGAAACAAATGGTCTTAACTCAGGCCCTATGTGGTCAGTTTGTTTTTAACAACTCTTACTCAACAAGAACAGGCTTCAGAATCATAGGACTTAAGCTTTCAAAGCTTTGTGAAGTTTCTTTCAGTTGGGCCTGGGAAGAGACTTTTAAAAAGTAAGTCCCATTGTAGTTGAGTGAGAAAAAAAAGAATTCTGAAGAGTATACACATCTGTGGCATCTCAATATGAATAGCAACAATGGACCCCTATAAGGATATTATTTGGGATGGAGGGAGGTGGTAGCTCTTTTCTGCCTGTTAAAATGAAGGAGTCTAATAATGGTCATGAATATAATTAGGAACCATGAAGAAAGGGAATTATAAAATCAGTTTCCTTTATTTGTGTACATGTTAGTGAATATAGAAGGTTAAATAAATGCCATGAGACACCGGGGGGGAAAGTCAAAGAAGGGACAAAAGAAGGTGAAAAAGTAGAAAAGACATTTTAAGCAGTCTTCTTTGTCTAACCTCTTTCCTAAGGAGGAGGAAACTGAGGTAGATAAATGTGATGAAGTGACTTACCAAATATCAAACAGTGCATCTATGGCAAAACATAATCATACTCATCCCCTACCTCCACTAAATGTTCAATGTCTCTTAATGCAGGAATTTAGGCTGTTCAAAAGAGACAAAACTTCAAAAGGAATTTGAAAAGGATAAGGAGATGACTAAATTGATCCTACTTGTTTATTTCAAAGCCCTAAGCAATTTAAAATAAGAGTTAAATACTTACCACTTAAACTCATGCATTCCAATGTTCAGTTTCAGAAAATCTATAGTATTTTACTTCAATAAGAGAACACTCCTGGGAGGGAAGAAAAAAGGCAGAAAGACTTCTGTCAATAAGCATCTCTCATTTTCATTCATTATTTTCAATTTGCAAAACTAAAGCTAAACATGTTTTATAAAGAGAAATACACCATCTTTTTTGTTAGGATCACAGAATCTAACAGTTGGAATGTAGCTTTAAATTCATTTATCTAACCTTCATCTGAAGTTTTAATCTATTCTAACATTCCTGAGTTGAAAACCCTTCAGTGATAGAGGACTCATTATCTAGCAGTCCCCTTTTAGGCTGCTTAAAATCAAATCAAAATCTATTTATGAACAACATTAGGCACTAAGAGGAATAGAGAAGTTTTAAACCATGGTCTATATCAACTATATCTATATTATAATCAAATAAGGTAAATAAATATATACATATGAGGTCCTATTCTTGGTTCTTTCACACTAGTCAATTCCCTTTCCTTTCCTGGACCTCAGTTCCTTTCTCTGTAAAATAATCAGATCATTCCTATGGTGTTTCACACTCAAATATCTAATTTCACTTTCCATGATAAAAACAGTATATAATTAATGGTGATACTGTTTACTACAGATTATATGTGTTGCAGCTTAGTGAACAGGAAGGCCAATGGGCACTAGAACTAAATGAGGCCCCAAAAGATATTACCTCTCTAAGCCTCTCCCTCTTCAAATGAGATAGTATTTGTAAAAGATTTTAGGACAGTATCTGATTGAGGGTAGAGTGACAGCATTTAGTACAGAATTAGTAGATACAATTCTGTTGGTAGTCACTCACCAGTTTCTGGTTTTAAAAAATGCTAACAAGACCTCTATAGGTATATCTTCCATACAATTCCAAATGTCAGTGTTACTTCTTTTTCTCTAGTTACATATTTTTATGCCAAAGAATCTTAGCAAAGAATCTCCCCTTCATACTTGATCATACATACATACATACATACATATATACATACATGAGCAAGGAAACCCAAGTCCTTTCCCTGGAGCTCCCTCTGAAGAGGGAGAAGTCAGATGAAGCTGAATAGTTTGAATAAAAACTTTTCACCATATACATACTTTCCATTAAATCGCCAATAGGGACTTTAAAAAAAAAACCAACAACAACAGATGAGGATGAGGGAGAAGTCTATTCCAAATGGAGTCAACAAAAGACGCAAGCAAAGACAAGAAATGACAGAATGAAAACAAAGGACAGGGAATAGTCTAACTTGTCTAGAAGAAAGAATATATAAAGTACGAGGTAAGGTTGAAAAGGTAAGACTGGTATCATTTTGTGGAGGACTTTGAAAGCCAAAACCAAGAGTGCATACTTTATTCTACAGGCCACTGTAGAATTCAGAGAACCACTGAATTTCTGAGCAGAGAGTAAATGACTTGATTAAAGTACTCTATTACTAAGATTGCTTGGGCAGTGGTGTGAAGTACAACCTGGAGATGGAGACAGAACAGAGATATGATCAAACTTGAATGGAAAGGGCACACGTGTGAGTTTTTCCAAAGAGGAGATTAGTAATAATATTTGGCCCACTGTTGGGGATGGGAGAGGCAGAGAGAGAAGAAGATAAATAACATTTATATAACATTAAGGTCTGTAAAGTACTTAATATCCTCATAGCTCTATGGAAATACTCACTACAGGTAATTGTTCCCATTTTACAGGTGAGGCAGAGAGGTTAACAGACATGCCCAGAGTCACGCAGCGACTAAATGTGAGACATGATATTCAAACCCAGGTCTTCCTCTGAGAAAGAGAATTAAAAATTACACTCAGGTGTCTGGATGACTCAAAAGATGGTGTAGGTACCACCAGGAGAGAGAACTCGGGGGCAAGGAATGGTTTTTGTTATTTGTTGGGTGTTCTTGTTTTGTTGTTGGGTTTGTTTGTTTATTGGGGGGATAAGGGTGGCCTATAGAGATGGAAGATTGGTTTGATCTTAGATATGCTGATTGTGAGATGCTACACAGGTAAAGATATATATAGCAGGCAGCTAGAAATACAATACGAAGAGCCTAGAATAAAGTCCGAAGTGGAGATCTGTGTTTCGCATCCATGCTACTCTGATCAAACAATATACCTAAATTCCCAATGCCTTTATAACAGATTTGCACTTGTTCACAAGCCAATGAGTCTAACTAAGAACCAGATTGCCAGGAGATATCTCTAAACACCTATGACAGCAACCAGAATTGAAGCTTATAGAAATATACAATGGAGAGGGAATTAATTATGTCCCATCCAAATGAAATTACTCTTTCAGGACACAATGCTTACAGGCCATGGAGAAATGGGTAGGTACAAGACTGAAGCATGTATGAGCACCTGAATTAAGTTTATTCTAAGCTGGCCTAATGATATATACAAATCTAGCCTAACCATTTCTTGTCCCAAACAGTTGTTTCCAAAAGGATCCACAGTATTTCAGGTTTTAAACTAAAATACCAGAGTTAGTAAAGCCATCCACCCACACTGTATAGATTCCATGCTCCTGTTTCCGAGGGTCTGTCACACATTCTAGGGCAGAGCTCCAGCACATACTGTTTTCACGTGGCAACAAAAGCATTCCAGTCACTGCACAACAGAGCAATTCCATACTTTACTCAATGCTTATTAATTTGTCATTTTAATGTTAAATATAAGCTCATATCTACATTTAAGGCAAATCTTCACTGATGCTCATTAGTTGTATTTTACAATATTGGAAAACATAGCTGTAGATGTATCTATATACTTCTCAAAATATGCATATATACAAGCAAAATGTACAAAAACTCAAACTTTTAATGAAAATAGCTTGTAATTTTATTGTCACCCTTCTTCATTTTACTTGTTCCCCTACTTCCCTTTTGCTCACTTTTCTAGCTCCATGCTTGTTTTCTCTCCCATTATAGCTTGTTTTTTCATTTTGTTTTGTTTTGTTTTCTCCAAGAGCAGAAGTCTGCAAACTTGGGACCCATGACTTAGAAGTTGTTTTCACATTTTTAAATGGTTGGGGAAAAAAATCAAAAGAAGAACATTTCATACATGTGAAAATAACATGAAATTCAAATATCAACATCAATAAATGAAGTTTTATTGGAACACAGCTACACTCATTCCTTTACATACAGTACATGACTGCTTCAACAGAGGCAGTATGACATTCTCATCACTTCACCTTGCTGCTAAACTTCACCAAAAATCACAGCAGTGCCATTATGCAACTTGATACATGAGTCCACACAAATCACCATACTTTGACATTTTTTTTTAATTACAGTGCATACCTAAGAGGTCCAAACCAGAAGTAAGGAAGGAAAAATAAGCAGCTTTATGATTATTTTTTGAGCCTTTATCTGAGATTGAAATTTTCTTAACAAGAAGAACTATCCTCAACCACTAGTATCAAACACTCAATGGCTTTCGAAATTAGCTTTTTGCTGCAGACTTAATAATGTTTCTCAATTAATTTAATCTAAAATCACAAGGTAAACCAGGACTTATACATAAAACTTACATAACAGGAAAGTCAATTTGATGTTTGAATCAGAAGTAATGTCAAGTTGCTTTATTCAGTTCCCATGCTGTCAAAATTTAAAATAGTGATGTCTCCATTCCCACACAAATTTGCAGTGGATATATTTTCTGAGTTCAAACTACAGTTCCAGGAGGATTTTTCTACTTCAATGGCAAAAGATTTCCATATTTAAAAATCTATTTGACAGTATTATTGAAGACCTTCCACATAACATTCAACTGGAAGTGATTGATCTGCAATGTAATGACATGATAAAAGGTAAATATCAAGGGAGGGCTCTAAGAGAACTCTATAAATGCCTTCCAACGGATGAATGTGCTCAATTAAAATCCTATGCTTATGGACTGATTTGGCCAAACTTATATGCATGAAAAGACATTTTCAAAGAAATCTGTAAAATCTCATTACAGATCAGCACTTGTTAAAAGATGAATATTTGCCATCTATTTTGATGATAGAATACTAATTATAAAACCCAATTAAAGGAAACGTGTACCTCCCCCAAAATAATTCCCTTCTCATTAGATCAATGTTGCAATAAGTTGTACTTCATTATCATTATCTGATACTATATATAATTGAATTCTGTCAAAAAATCTGTGAAAATTTGTTTTCTCCCATTATAAGTAGCTACATAATAGTCTCAATTTTACTTCTTGGCCCACAAAGTCTAGGATATTTTTTATCTGAATCTAGCCCTTCACAAAGGCCCACAAGGTCTAAAATATTTTCTACCTGTTATAGAGTCTGTTATAGAGTTTACATTCTATACTTCATCATTCCTACCCTCAGTAACATATATTTTCACTTCTAATGTGTTATTTTTTACCACTGTTGTCACTCCCCTGCACCAGAACAGAACCTTCTAGTTCTCTCATCTAAATTTCTCTAGCTAGAATCTGAGACCCTCCAGCAACAACCTCTCAACTCCCACACATCTCCCAAACTTCATTTTTTACTACACCTGTAGGGAGTCTTCACTTCAGCCAAGTTAATAGATTTGCTCTTCCCCATACAAACATGGGATTACACATGGCCTCTGCGAGGGATTTGCTACTCTCTATCCATTCCTGCCCCTCACCCACCCTCAAAATTTAGCTAAAACTTACTTTCTCTAGAAAGGAATTTCATAATTGATTGTAGCAAATATTGTTCATGAGCCTTACTAACAGCACCTCACCCCTGTAATTCAACTACAGCAGTGCTGTTTGGAGAGAGGGCACACACACAAGCATGTTGTAAGCTCTTTGAGGCCAGTTATCAACTCATCTTTCATGTACATATAGCAAATGTTCAAAGCTGCTAACTTACTGTTCTAATTTGCAATTATGTGAAAAGCAAAGCAGCCCTATACATGCCCACAAAACAGCCCATGGCAGATTCATATTACAAATCATCATATCTCCAAAGAAATACAAACTATATAAATAATATCTGAATATATAAACAGAGTCTCCAACTTAACAAACTTTTTTTCAGG